GGAACGAATCTGAAAATTCTTAAGCTCCAATGGTATATCAAGTAGGAAAAGCAAGTGAGATTTGTGACAAAATTTTTTTACGATAAAAAATCACACGATGTCATATCATGCGATGTCATATCACGATATCAGATCTCATCACGCGGCCATTTTTTCATTTATTCAGAAGTGGATTGTATTCAATTATTGATTATACCTCGTTTTGCTGCCATCCTGTGATAGGTTATGGACCCAGCTGCCAAAATACGAGTCAGAAGTCAAGAGTAATTGATTTAACGAAAAATTTGAGAGCGCTTGCTGTGATTTAAAAACAGTGATAAAATCAAACGTAAGATAGACAAACGAGGAAAAAGTCAGAGATGATAGTGAACTAGCAGATAGAAAACAGATAGAAAACAGAGAAAAACAAAAAGAAAAGCCACTGCGACAGTGCATTGACACAAATCAGTGAACACAGGGAAGTCTGGAGTCAAAAAAGAAAGCTGAAACATTCACACGAAATAAAGAGACAAGAGAGGAAGAGATAGACACGACGCTTTGCAAAATCACTATTCGATTCGGTACACAGACGCTTAGACTTTGTATCAGGCTTGGATAAAACGTAAATGCTTCCTTAAATTACGCACTGCGATATCAATGCTGATAAAATAAAATCGAGCTTTTGCCATTGAACAGTACGTAAAACATGAGGTTTTTGTTCAGAGCAGTACGGTTTTGGATTAAAATGTCTAATTCAGAAACAATAATTCTAGGAAATGATGAAAATTTTTCGTACTTTGAAGCGCAGTCTGAGACTAAAAGTTTTCAACTTGAGTTGAAAAAAGTCATTAATATGAAGAAAATGAGAAAAATTTTGCATCAGAGTTAGAAATCGTGATACTGCTGAACACAGAGAGGCATCTTTTAACAAAAATTTCATAAAATTTAAAAGGGAAAAGAATTGTGTGTTTGGTACGAGTTAGTCCAAATAGAACAAAAAATCTGTTTTTTTTTAGACCCTATGTAAGCAGGGAAGTAAGGCTTGGCAAGTTTTGTTTGAAGTTCACAACCATCGAGAGACAGAGACTGCAGCAATTAACGTTAAAATTCAAAAAGAAAGCCGTAGAGGGAGTAGTCGACGACATAACGAGAGCTGAAGAATTACACTGAAGTACACTTTCGATGAAGTGTCCGGGTTTATGCGAAAAGCTACTTGAGTCGATCATCCTTAAAAGCTTTTCAAAGGAGTTTTGTACTTTTTGTACTTTGATAAAGGTTAGTAAAAAGATAAGACTGAGTGAAATTAGGAAAGACTTGATAAACTTAGAAAAAAATCATGGGAATGAGAAAGAGGAGACTGCAAATTTGTTTATTTCAAAGACAAACTTGTTTTAGATGCATTAAAACAAGACACGTCGCAGCTCATTGTAGATCTCAGTTAAAGAAAAATATACTCTAGCCATCCAGTGATAGACCTGTGAAACATCAAATGCTTAGATTTAGGACGCGCCGTATTGTAAGAAGATTTTTTTTTCAAAAAGTACTGGATGAGTACCATTTGGCTGTTGCTGAAACAAATAAAACACATTGAAGCTTTAAAAACTTGGCCGATAGATTTAATATTGACTTATTTTTAGATTTAGGCGCAACTTGCAGTATGATAAAAGATGAAAAAATATTGGTTGATCCGGACGAACTTCAGTAAAACTGTTGAGATCGTTAACAAAACTGGGTTTCATCTCTCAGAAAAAAAAATTTGAACTTATTGTGGGAAACGACTTACAAAATTACTTTTCAGTGAGTAAACGTTTAAATGTACCAAAGAATTCAGGAAAACTAGTGTAAGTCTCAAAATTACAATGACAGCTATAAGAGTTTTCGGAGAAAAGTTGTGTAATGAACACAGAAAAGAAGCGAAAATTCGCCCCACTCAAAACAAATTTTGAGAAATCATAAAAAGTAAGCCGAAAAGTAGGACAAAACCACTGACTAAGAAAAAAACAAGAAAGGATCGACTTTTTTAGTTCTGTCGAAAAAAAGCTATTGAAATTTTAACCCTTCAAACAAAGAATTATGAGGCAAATGAAAATATATTTTATCAGCCAAAACAATTCAGGCTGAAGAAAGCAAAAAAGAAAAAAAACAATCAGAGAAAAAAGAAAACACGTTGTTTTGAAAGCAACAACAAAAATAGAATGAAACGGCCAATTAAAACGCAGACATGCTTACAAAATCTGTTTCCAGGTATTCCATCGAAACGAACATGCAATCTGATTGAGCTGAATTAGTTTAAATACTTGTTTGCACGAAAAAAACCTTCAGTCCGATTTCATAAAGCTTCCTAATCGCAAGCGTAACAAGAAAATGAGACCGCCCCCTCTTAATTAGCGAAGAAATCTCTTTATTTGGTAAACTATACTATTTGTAAACAAAACAAAACTCAGTTGTGATATAGTCGAGAACAAACTTTTAGGACTCAAAGTCAATAAGATTTATTTAGGCTGAGACAGAACAGAAGATTGAGATTTTTCGTGAGGAAGTTGAGTAATTAATGAATAGTGACAAAAATGACAAAGACGGGGTTTGAGCTGATTAATGAGTTAGTAGCTATCTTAAAACTATACGTTCATTAGACAAATGGAGTAAGGAGGAGTTGAGAAGCATATCTGTCAAGAAGTTTCAGAGTATTGACTTGAAGTTGGGTTGAAAGATAGTAGAGAGTAGGAAGTTTGAAAGCAGAGCAAGAAAAATCATCATGGTTTTTGAGCTAGGAAAAAAAACTGACGCTGCTCTCAACAAAAATCGTATGGGAAATGGTAAAACTGAACCTCCAAACAAGAGTACGATAATATAAATTTCTTAATTTGAAAGGAGTGTTAAGTTTCGGAGAAATGACTTCTAACTTTACAGAGGAACCACTTTCAGTTTTTTAAATTTCAAATGAAGAACATGATTAAATATCGCACGATGTCACGTTATGTCATATCATAAGATCCTATGTCATATCATAACTTTCCTTATATTTAAAAGTTGTTTTACTACTGTTATATCGCTCTCTATTTCAACTTTTGATTATACCTGGTTTTGCTGCCAACCTATGATATAATTAACTTTGTATCCCCTTTACAACAACCACTCAGACCAAAAAGGAAGTCCAAAGAATCAGAATCATTTAGGCTAAGCTACTAAGATCTACGAGATTAGCTACAAAATATAGTATAGCTCGTTTTTCTTGGTATATAGCAAAGTGAAATCTACAACGCACATAATAAGCTTTACAAAATTAAACGACTTCCAGCTACGACCGTTATCGTTAAGGTGGTCACATGAAACTAATAGAAGTTGAGACTAAATACTTGAATTTCAGAGAATAAAAAAAGAAATAGTTAATGCAAAATACAGCAAAAATTATTCAAAATGGAAATGAATGGTTGAAAATAGACTAACTATGTACTAAGTAAGCTCTAAAAACTAAAAAAGCGTATGAAGAAATTCACAAAAACTGATGAACTAATTCTAAAACTAATGCACCGCAAGATGATGAATTATTAACTGCACTTTTTTCTGGTGATTGTCAAATACGTTGCCAAACTTCTCCGCCTCCACTTTTCAATTTCTGTGGATAAACCACTGACTACGAAAAAACTATAAAAAAAAACAAGAAAGGATCGACTTTTTTAGTTCTGTCGAAAAAAAAAGCTATTGAAATTTTAACCCTTCAAACGACGAATTATGAGGCAAATGAAAATAAATTTTACCAGCCAAAACCATTCAGGCTGAAGAAAGCAAAAAATAAAAAAAACAATCAGAGAAAAAAGAAACCAAGTTGTTTTGAAAGCAACAACAAAAATAGAATGAAACGGCCAACTAAAACGCAGACCTGCTTACAAAATCTGTTTCCGGGTATTCCATCGAAACGAACATGCAATCTGATTGAGGTGAATTAGTTTAATTACTTGTTTGCCCGAAAAAAACCTTCAGTCCAATTTTCTAAAGCTTCCTAATCGCAAGCGTAAAAAGAAAATGAGACCGCCCCCTCTTATTGAGCGAAGGAATCTCTTTATTTGGTTAACTATACTATTTGTAAACAAAACAAAAATCAGTTGTGATAAAGTCGAGAACAAACTTTTAGGACTCAAAGTCAATAAGATTTATTCAGCCTGAGACAGAACAGAAGATTGAGATTTTTCGTGAGGAAGTTGAGTAATTGATGAATAGTGACAAAAATGACAAAGACGGGGTTTGAGCTGATTAATGAGTTAGTAGCTATCTTAAAACTATACGTTCATTAGACGAATGGAGTAAGGAGGAGTTGAGAAGCATATCTGTCAAGAAGTTTCAGAGTATTGACTTGAAGTTGGGTTGAAAGATAGTAGAGAGTAGGAAATTTGAAAGCAGAGCAAGAAAAATCATCATGGTTTTTGAGCTAGGACAGAAAAAAACTGACTCTGCTCTCAACAAAAATCGTATGGGAAATGGTAAAACTGAACCTCGAAACAAGAGTACGATAATATAAATTTCTTAATTTGAAAGGAGTGTTAAGTTTCGGAAAAATGACTTCTAACTTTACAGAGGAGTTACTTTCCGTTTTTTAAATTTCAAATGAAGAATATGATTAAATATCGCACGATGTCACGTTATGTCATATCGTAAGATCAGATCTGAACACGCGGTTAACTTTCCTTATATTTAAAAGTTGTTTTACTACTCTTATATCGCTCTCTATTTCAACTTTTGATTGTACCTGGTTTTGCTGCCAACCTATGATATAATTAACTTTGTATCCCCTTTACGACAACCACTCAGACCAAAGAAGGAAGTCTTACGAAAAAGAATCATTTAGGCTAAGCTACTAAGATCTAAGAGATAGCTACAAATTATAGTATAGCTCGTTTTTCTTGGAATATAGCAAATCGAAATCTACAACGCATATAATATGCTTTACAAAACTAAACGATCTCCAGCTAAGACCGTTGTCGTTAAGGTGGTCACATGAAACTAATAGAAGTTGAGACTAAATACTTGAATTTCAGAGAATATAAAAAGAAATAGTTAATGCAAAATACAGCAAAAATTATAAGAAATGGAAATGAATGGTTGAAAATAGACTAACTATGTACTAAGTAAGCTCTAAAAACTAAAAAAAAGCGTATGAAGAAATTCACAAAAACTGATGAACTAATTCTAAAACTAATGCACCGCAAGATGATGAATTATTAACTGCACTTTTTTCTGGTGATTGCCAAATACGTTGCCAAACTTCTCCACCTCCACTTTTCAATTTCTGTGGATAATTTCTTCTTTCAAAACTCACAAAATCTAATTTGTCTATAGTTTAACTTTGCCAGTTTCTTGTTGCGTGGTTTCTGGTTGCTAGAAATGTAAATGGCCATCTTTGTTTATTTACAATCTTTTACTATCTTTGGCTCTAATATTATGACAGCTCCCTTCGACATTGATAGGTTTACACGAAATACGCGTCTGATAATTTTTGACCTTGAAAGTCTCAACTCGCACAATACACCTATAGGCAAAAACTGACTTAATTTGACTGTACATCTTTGTATGCTCTGATTCTCGAACAATCTTCACACTTTTTCCGCGATAAATGACTTCGATTGTACACTTTTTGTTAAGATTCTAGAACAATCTTCAAATTTTTTCCGGCCGTTAAAGTCATAAATCTGAGACAGTCATCCTGATGTTCCGTGCTTCGTTGCGCGGCTTGAAGTAGTCTGTGTCTGATGGGTCTGAGGGATTGGGGACAAAAGGGGGTTCCTGGTGAGTAGCCATGTCATCCCAGTCTACGATACAGTCGAACAGAGACATCTGTTTCAGAGCTGAGAACTCTGCTCGATCTTCGGGACATGTGGTCAGGAGGGCCTAAGAAGAGTCAAGATGAAGACTATTTAATTAGCGAGAAAAAAGACCAACAAACAAACTGTTCATTTTTTCACCGACAAAAACTCTTGCATTTATCATTGAGAACTCTTTCTTTAGAGTTGTAATTGATTTTCATAATCAAATTCATTTTTATTCAGTGAACCAATAATCGGTGTATTTTAGCAGCAATTCATTAACATGTGGAATATTATAGTGGTAAAGTTATAATCAACAAAAAAGTGAGGAGGGGAGCATATAAAAATTCCCTTGATACCACCCACAATTAGGTCATTAAGTCGACAAAAAATAGGCCATCATAATTGAAGCCGAATTAAGTTTTTAAGCGAAACAAAAAAAAACAAAAGAAATACGAAAAAAGGTAAAATAAAATTACAAATTCCAGGAGTAAATCAAAACATTACAGATTGAAGATAAAAATTAATAAAGATAGTTGCAGAAAAAACATTTCCAGGCAATTGAACGAAAAATCAGCATCGGAACTAAACTAATCAAGCGGGAACAAGACCAAAAATACCTGAAAAGAAACTCATGTCAATTTTTGTTTTCAATTTAGAACTAAGTTAAAAAATTAAGACACCCTTTTCCTCAGAACACACCAAAGCACACAAAAACTTTTTTCACCCATCAAACGACCCAATTAGAGGCTAAAAGCCGAAACATATCAAGCCGAAAAAAAAACACCAAAAATGAAAATTTAACAAACCGAGTTTGTGAAGTTATAACCAACAAAAAAGTGAGGATGGGAGCATAAAAAATTCCCTTGATACGGACCAAAATTATTTCATTAAGTCGACAAAAACTAGGCCGTAATAATTGAGGCCGAATAAAGTTTTTAAGCGAAACAAAAAAAAGAAATACGAAAAGGTAAAGTAAAATTACAAATTCCAGGAGTAAATCAAAACACTACTGATTGAAGATAAAAATGAATGAAGATTGAAGATAGTTGCAGAAAAAACGTTTCCAGGCAATTGAACGAAAAATCAGCATCGGAACAAAACTAATCAAGCGGGAACAAAGCCGAAAATCCCTGAGTAGAAACTCTTCATGTCGATTTTTTTTCAATTGAGAACTAGTTTAAAAAATTAAGTCCCCCTTCCCCTCAGAATACACAAACGCACACAAAAGTGAGGAGAGGAGCAAAAAAATTCCCTTGATACGACCCAAAATTAGATCATTAAGTCGACGAAAAAAAGGCCATAATAATTGAGCCCGAAGAAAGTTTTCAGCGAAACAAAAAAAAAACGAAAAAAGGAAAAGTAAAATTACAAATTCCAAATCAAAACACTACAGGCAACGATAATGAAAATTTCGTGCATCGAAAAGAAACGATTCTAAGATGTAGCATCTAAGCCGACAAAACATGACAATTAATAGGCCGAAAATTTAATTTGAAACCGAATATTTCTCGTTTGAAAAAAAAAGGTCCTGATCAGATTCGAACTCAGAACCTTTGCCATCCCAGGCGTACTCACTACCTCCAGGCAAGAAAACTCGGAATGCTCAGAAACTGGAATTCATCATGAACCAAACTAGGTGAGTCCAGATGAGTCCTATGAACAAATTTTGTCTCTTTTCCACTCCCCCCTTCAAATTTTGAAAAACCATTTTAAATTTGTCACCATGCAATGAAACTTGGCATGAGAACAAAATCACTCTTGTGAACATATTTGTCCTTCATACTCTAGATCGTAGCAGCATTCATTTAGCTGAAATAACACGTAGAACTAAGAAAACGGAAAATTTGAAATGTGGGGTGGGGGTTTAAAAAAGCTCATAAGCTTTTTCTGGAAAAAAGTTTAGTACCCGATTGCAATACCCATGCTGCTCGCGAGGGCAATGAAGTACACTAACTTGAATTAGAATTACCCTAATTTATAGTAAAATGTTTTTTTTTGCTCACCTGAATTGGCCGTATTAAACTCTCGTCCAACTCCTCTTCGCCCGTCGGCCACGGAATATCACAACTGAGGATATTCTGCAATACCTGAGGGGCCGTTTCATCGTTAAAGGGGGGCACCCCGGTCGCGAATTCGAACATGCACACCCCTAGAGACCACCAGTCAACTGGGTAAGAGTAGGAGGAGCCTGGTTTGTTCAGACTGCGTTGGATGATTTCAGGCGCTATGTAATCAGGGGTACCTAAAATAAAAATAACGGGGCATGTAAATAATTTTTTTCAAAATAATAAGCCAAAAACTTTACATGGAGAGAAAATTTGCAATTTTCAAGTTCACTTTTTCACTAGCACACCTACGGTTTCAGCTAATGGTGTGAGAATTGGTTGGAAGCCATTACACAAAAATCATCCCGTGGGGAGGCCAGAAAAAAGCAAGATAAGGTAATTTTCTTTTTGCTTCGAGGTCTAAATTTTGCTTCACCGAGCTTACCCGTGCAGCAGGAAATAATTTTGTCATACTGCTATACATCCCTAGTTTTTGCTGAGCATCATGAACATTAAATCCAATTTGAAAAGTAAAAAGCAATATTTCGCGAGAAATCTAACTTTTTAACTGGAGCCGTTCCATGACAAAACAACACTGACCTTAAGGTTCCATTCCTTCATGACCAAATCACTCCGCGTTTCATACAAATAGGATTAGAAAAACAAGCTTCCATGCAAACAAACGCCAAATAAACAGGATTTGTAACCGAATAGCTCATTTCGAAGAATTGTGTTAAAAAAATCCAATCGAAACGTGTCCAAGCATTTTAGTTTTCACTTGACATATCAACTCGCTAGTGCAATAAAAATTATTTGTTTTTAAAATAAAGTATCTAAAAAATTTATTTGAAAAAAATTGATATGAAAAAATGACCGCAGACAACTAACCCAAAACCCGCTCAGTGGAAAAGGTAGTTCCTTTTCTCACTGCCTTTCTCCTGCTTCTACAAGCTGTCGCTCTCAACACTCGATAGGGCGTTGCCGCGGGCGTGAACGGCGTCGTGGGGATAGGAGACGACTTCCAACTTTTCACACTCGGCGTCCACACCTTTCTCGGCTGCTGCTGATTCACATCTAAGGTTACCTTCGGATTGTCGCCGGAGCCACCCGATTGCACTTCGCTTCCTCGTCTCTCATACTGATCGTCAGCAATCAATCGTGGCAAAATTTTAGCCAGTTCAGAGCCGGGGCTCATCGAAATGGAACCAGCCGTTGAAATTTTCTCAGAAGGCGACAGATTAAACGAGACTAAACTGAGACGTTGCATCCGTGACTCACAATCTCTGATACTTAATCTACTATCATTGCATCGCATTAATTCTATTGAATCATCGTGACTTCCGCGAGGTTCGAGAACCGAAATGATGTCAAGACTAGGTTTAGAGGTCCAAATTGTCTGTTCCTTGGACTCAGCTTTCGCTTCACAGTAACTTCCGTCTAATGAGAGCAGAGATTCGTCATTCAACCCACCTGTTGACGAATAAGTTGAATTTAGAAGCGAACTTATACTTAGGCTTCGAAAACTTCGCATCTCTTCTTTGATTTCATTCACTCTCCAAGAATCCGATAGTTTCTCGGCATCGTCTAAAACATCACTGACCCTCGAAGGATACTCATTTTCTTTTTCCTTTTCTTGGTCCAAAATTAAACCAGCCAGTTTAGCGCCTGGAGGCGTTTCATGTTGTTTGTTTTCCAACATTTCGTTAATTTCAGCTAATATCTCCGGACTCGCATCGTCCGTTTTACATGGTACCAACTCTGAAGCATCACTCAAAGCTGCACATTTGAAATTCTGCTTGTCTACCGAGCCCGAAACAAAATCTATACTTCGTTTTCTTCGAAGTGCCGTAGCTTTCGGCTTTTCCGAATTCATATGACTAGGCTGACTGAACGTCCGGCAAAGTTTGTGATTGGATATCATTGATTTCGGAATATTTTGGCTTCCGAGGTCAAATTTAACATCGGTTTTTTCCTTTTCTTTCACATCAAGAGGACTCAACAAAAAAGCGATCCCACTTTTCTTTGTGTACTTTTCTTTGCATATGTTCATTTTAAGACTCATAATTTGACCAGGCGTTCTTCCACATTGCAAACTGTTTAAAATCTTGTCGACGTTCGGAATAACTTGGATTTTTGCCAGTCCAAAATCTGTAAGCTTAAGATGCCCGGACTTATCAATTAAACAGTTATCTGGTTTTACATCTCGATGAATAATCTGGCGTTTGTTCAGAAAATTCAAAGCGAGTCCGATTTCAGCCGAGTAAAACGCGATCATGTAATCGGTAAAACAGCCGAAAACTTCAAGCAGAGATTTGAGGTCGCCGCCTACTAAATACTCCATTACAAGGTAAACTTGATCCACATTCTGCAGACAATAGAGTAATTTCACAACATGATTATTGTCTTCTAATATCGCTAACGCGTTCTTTTCTTCTTGGACCCTGGCGAGCATGTTTTTGTTCTGTAGATGCTGCTTCTGCATAATTTTGATGGCTAGTTTAATGTCGGGTTTGGACTTCTTGTGCCCGAGGTAGACTTGACCGAAAGCTCCTTTGCTGATCGGTTTCTCGAAATTGAAATCTTCCACCTTCGGAGGTCCTGATGATTCGGCGGCCATCGCTGTCTGAAAATGATTCAGATCATTGATTACAAAATTCAAAATACAGTAACCAAAAAATCGGACCAAGTTAACAGTTAGGTCCTATTTGTACCAACGTTTATTTGGGTGGCGGAAGCAAATAAATCCAGGCCATAAAAATTAATACTGAACGTTTGAAAATTGAGTAGATTACATATAAATGATTTTTCAACATTGCCCGACCAAATACACATTGGAAAAAAAATAATTTTTCACATAAACCAGGTTAAGAAAATTTGAAAAAACAAATATCTAAATTCTTGTATCCGCAAAAACTGTGCATGCTTTATTTCATTTTCTGCTAATTTTGATTTCGGTTCACTGATAAAAAAAAACATTCAGCGAATAGGAACTTCTACTGATTCTGATTGGCTGAAATTTTTCTATCATTTGGTCCCTCTATCATGAGAATAGCCCTTGTTGATTTGTACCAAAGTTAAGAATCAGTCTCACACCAATACCAGTTGTACAGAAACTATTCATCTCAATTTCTGTTTGGTCGAATTTTGAGCCAAAAATTATTAAACGAATTGTATAGTGTTCAAACAGCATATAACTACACAGCAGAAAAGTGATCGCCGCTGTCACGCCAACGAACCCACCCAAAATATTATCATCCACTCAAAAGCAGTTTTAGGACCTAAATTGCACTTCTTAAATGAAATTTTTAGCCAATCGCAATCAAGCGTTTAATTGCAGCACAGCGTTGCCACATTTAATCCAAACTTAACTGTGGAAGATCTTAACTTAGTCCATCTGAAGAGGGAGGATGGTAACTTGATCCGAAAAATCAGCAATTTAGAGATTCCCTTAATTTGACGATCGGGTCTTAGTTATACGGCCCAAAAGTATTCATTTAGCCATAATGAAAAGTAACACATTGTGAAGTAACTGTGATTCATCTTTACACTATAAAACCATCCTGCAGTACTGCTGCGGAACCAACAAGTGATGTAATTGTTGTGACATCTTGATTAAAATACCTGTCAAAAGCGATGTACCTTTTAGACCATCGGTGCTCATTGGTTAGTTATTGTTTTAACGATCAAACCTTCGATAATTCAACTTATCTTTCAACTTAGCTTTCATCTTAGTTTTAGCAATTACAATAGCTAGTTAGTATCTTTTTGAAACTGCCTCTATCTTGATCATTGATTCTAAGTTGTCGTACTAGGACCTTAAAATGGAATTCTTTGAATGGTGCGGTCAAAAAATTCGAGGACTGGAATTCTCTTGGAATTATTCATCTAACGAAATCCCCATGACTGGCAAAAAATCAGAAAATTTTCAACTCACAATCGTAGCAAAAGCTTCTGTAAGCATAGATGAAGTCAACATACCACCAGAACGTGGATCTATACATGTTTTGAACCCCGAACAGCCTGCAGAGAAAAACTTGCTACGCAGCGACAAAAAAGGTCTTTTTGCTTCCTAGCTCTAGATATTTAGCAGTGCTGTGTATCTCGCACCCCTATGCAAGAGTATATCAATAAATTCAACAGACCTCAAATTGGAGATATTGATAAGAAACTGAGATCTCAGCTTTACCTAGCGTTAGGCAGAGAGGGACGAAAAAGTTTTGCGCATTCAAAACCATGAAAAAAGATCATTGATATCAACTTCGCATAATTTTGGCAGCTGCTCAAGACAACTTTCGCGACAGGAAAAAATCTTACAAGCGTTTCAAATTTTTCAGTAGAAGTCAAAAGGACAATAAAATTCTGGAAAAATTTGACAAAACCCTCACAAGATTCAGCAAAAAAAAATGTAGTTTGGGAGAATTAGAGGCAGCACTAGTGCGGGACAACATGAGAAATGTAGAAATACAAAAAAAAACTTTGTATCGCTTTTCTAACTCCTGAAAACGTGCTAGCCTACTAACTCCTCCACGAAAAGGGACCCCAAATTCATCAGCTGTACGTCGAAACCCTAGTTGCACATTTCCTAAACAGAAACACGAATATTAAAAAAGAACCAGCTCTTAACATATCAGAAACCCAAGTGCCGAAACTGCGGTCAATCAATCAAAAAGGCCATCTCTTAGTATGCCCACCTAGAGAGAAGTCAAGCAACAATTGTGGACGGAAGGGAATTTTGCAAAACATTGCAGGAGCGGAGGAAGAGCACAAGCGCAAACTAACATAGTCGACCAAGCAAATACAGATACTAAAATCGCAAATCAACACCAGGATACTAACACAGATCCTGAATTCCTCGTTAACCTAGACGACTTCAGGATACTGGCGATTGACGAGGAAGCCGAAGTCAACTATATACGGCATTAGAACACGATTCTCTCAGGAAGGACAAGAGGTCAAAAAAGGTTGAATGTATCCTTAGGCGACAATAATCCGTTTGAGACTGAAATAGATCGACGCAGACAGCCCGGCATTGTTCATGAAAAAGGATCTTTAACCCGAACTGCGAATTAGAGACAGATTTTTAAAAAAACTCCGCTCCCCCATCCCCTAAATCCTTTACTAGGTCGAAGTGCTCGACTGATCACAATTTATGTTAATTGGGTTTCAAATTTTCATTTGCTTAGTGTTTGCTTAATTTCAAATTTCAATTTCTCAGAAACGCAAGTTTCGAATTGAACGGCTTATTCTCGTTGCTTTGTGTTTCTGAGAAATAAAGTTATAAAAATTATGCTAGTTCGATACTTTTTCATGTTTTTACACTTTTAGCTAGTCGAGCTTTATGCTAGTCGAGCGGTCATCATACCAGCGAAAAAATTCTCAGCGTTTTCCATAAAAACAGAAGCTCAATTAACAGTTTGATAATTTGGGGCGTAAAACAGAAAAGACCCTGCGTGCGACCCTAACTTCAGGGGCTCCGTAAAATTTATTTCATTATATGGCTACTAGCCCCTAAATTATTTCCGTAACTTTTTGGAATCCCTAATAAATCCCTAATAAATAATTTTTATTTCAAAAAAAAAAAATAATGGCCATAATTAAATTATTCCAAAATGAAAAAAAATAAAATGGCACAGTGGAATAATGTGAGTTTCTCACAGAATTTTGGATATGAGTTCAGCGTCCCAGTATTCTTTGTTGACGCAGAGGAACAGCTCTGCCTCAACGTGCATTGGACTCATATTGTGGCGCAAATACCCAATGTTGAGTTTCGCCCGACTGAAAAGCCGCTCACAGACATTTGATGTTCCGGGTACCCATTGCAAGGAAACATAACCGCTGTCCCCGGTTTTCAGCCGTTTCGCTTGCAGCAGTCCTTTGGCAAAATTGCTCCCGGTTGAATTGTTCCCCTCAATAACTTGCTTCTCAAACGCCTTTAGTGCGTTCTTCTCGTCTTCGGTAAGTTCTTGGAACTTGTTTTCAATACATTTGACAACCGCATCTTCAAAACATCGATTCGCTACTATAACAGCGTTTTTCGCGAGGTGAGTCTTCATAGCAGGGAATTCTTCGATGAGGGCGTCAAACAGATCTCTGATATCCGACTGCGAGAAAGTAAAGTGGAAGGATTTTCGCAGCAGCTTGCATTTGGTTGACGTAATGAATGACGTAATGATGTGACGCGTTGTTCGCAGTGAACCTTAGATAAAATAATTTCTGGAATTATTGTAATATTCCATACGCGAGAAATAAATAATTTCCCTAAAAGTTCTCGAAAAATACATAATTTTTATTTTAAATTAGTCGAAATAAATTATTTATCAAAAATTATTCCACTACCATTATTTTTACGGAGCCCCTGCCTAACTTGCAGTCTCGGAGTCTTTACTGTTATATGGCCCAAATTGACCCAACTCTCGTTTAACTAAATTTTATGATAGAGTGGTTCCTTGAAAATAACTAAGTCGCTTAAGAAAACATCCCCCTCGCCATTTTAAGGGGGGAAATAAAAAACCGCATACATTGAATTTTAATGAGTTAATTCAATTAGGTTTGTTAAACCGTAAAACAAGTTGAAGCGAGCATATTTCTTGATGCTGGCTCTTTTCCACAGACCCCCCCCCCCCCCCACACAAACATTTCAATTTTTCCATTTTCTTACTTGCTCGTCTACGTGTTAATATGGCTGAAATGCGTGATGCTACGATGTGGTGAGGTATGAAGATGTGAAGAACAAGTTGTTCACCAAGCAAATTTTCACCAGATTATGAAAAGGTTAAAATTAATTTGTCAAAACTGAATTTCAAATGTGGGGGTGGAAAAGAGCCTCCAACCCAGAGTATCCGCATATCTCGGAAAAAATTGGCACCTACGACCGGCCACCATGACTGGTTTATGTTAGCCATTTCACAATAGTGCATTTCCAATCAGCAATTGGGTCTAGGACAACAAGCCGACGGGACTTCAAGCCGAAGGGACTTCAAGCCGAAATTAAAACTTTACAAGCACCCCAAAACGCTATTTTATCATCTGCAAAATGTTGCTTTTCTAAAATTTTGGCAAGTTTAGTCCATAGTAAGCGTTATTCATGACAATGCACCACTTGTGATTCGCATCCGTTAATAACATCTGCCGGTTTTTGAAATGCATAAATTATAAACATGAAAAATGCCTTCAACCATTTTTTACTTTTCAACTTTCCGGGACATCATTTGGAGGCTTAAATTATATGCAAACGCCAATAACTAGTGAAGAAAGATAATGAAATTCAGAAATTGTTCAAAAAAGTTTTCAAATTGTTCATATTTCACGACTTTATAAGGAATTATTCGGCTTGAAGTCCCTAATTTTACAATTCGGCTTGAAGTCCCGTCGGCTTGATGTCCGGCACCCTCAGCAATTATGTATTAGTTCATGCATTTAAGCAGCCAGTATATTTGAAATACAAACACAGCAATTAGAATGTTACCAAGGTGCCATGGTGTAGTGGTTATCACATCTGCCTAACACGCAGAAGGTCCCCAGTTCGAGCCTGGGTGGCATCAAATTTTAACATCGCTTTCGATATTTATTTAAAATTTCATGATTTGAGCGGACCTTTTTGTAACATTGCATATCGGATA